TTTTTTTTTTTTTTTTTTTTTTTTGTAGGACAGTTTTGTTTTTCATATATCCTTGAAAACTTAGTTAGCTGCTAAATCTAGACACACTTTTCTCTTAGGATTGTATGGTATAAAAGCCAATATTATTTTTAAATATGCACTTTGAACGAAAGACCATTGAGCCTTAAAATCAATGCGAGATATGCTGTGAAACTAGGACAGTGTTAGAATTCAAATGTAAGTTGTTTATTTTCAGGAATGAGGACTTGAGGTAATACAACCACAAAATTTATAAGTAGACGTATTTTAGCATACCATGAAAATGGTAATTACTACCAAAATGCTAAAATACATAAAAAAATTAAAAAGTGAAAATCTCAGTTTTATAAATATTCTTTGTAAAATTAGTAGAAAAAATTAGGACTATGACAGTAAATTATCCCAAATACCAGAAAAAAAGTGTTAAAGTAAAGACAAGTTAAACTATGACTGTCTATTAAAAACATAACTTAAAAAAATGTGCAAATTTGTAGCATCATTAGATTTAAAAGGTAGTGTTAGAAACATATATATAAAGATTACAAGAACAATATCTTCACGCATAAACATATTTGTATACCGTCCTTTTCTGCCAGTTTTGAAGCCTTTGTTTTTAGTGCATGAATCTCCATTGTGTCTGGTCATAAAGAAAGCTGTATTGTAAGAGTTACAATGAAAAATGTTATTCCTGTTTATGTTAAAAGTGACTATTAGATTTGGTTCAAGATGGAATTAAAATGATTCGATGAAGTTCTTTTTTTTTTTTTTGTTGTTGTTGTATTTGTGAAATGATTTCTTTTTGCTTAAGCTTAAGAAATATTTTGATAGCTCTTTGGAACCAAATTCATTTAGAATTCAATGTTTCCTGCCATAAGTAATTACCCCGGTGAATAACAAGAGAAAAAAGAAATGAGAAGTACATGTTTTGGGAAATCCTGTAAATGCCAATCATTGGGGGTATGGACAATCTCCTGTTTATTTGTCATAAAATGGAATAGTCCATTTTATACTACTAAAATAAGGAATACAGTTTTTCAACAATATTGAAATAAAATGCTCATCTAAAAAAAAAAAAGAGAACTGTATATAAAGGCCACCCAGTTTTAAATATTCTTTGTACTTTAAAGAAGAAAAAAAAATTATTCCTCTCCGAATTACGAACATTACTGAAATTAAAACGTGGTTTATCAGTGATAAAGAAATATAGTGTATTTTTAGTGATTATTGTGTTGTTCAAGCAATTGTGTTTGTTAAACCTCCAAAGTTAAGGTTTGATGCTGTTTTATTTCCATTTCTTAGTTTGAGCTTCACATTCCTAATTTCATATTTTATCATATTATCTAGTTTGGTAGAATATAATTTAACAAATATTGATTTTTTTTGTTTGTGCTATTTTTTTTCCACATAGTATTAATTAATGTTTATGAAATGTGTGCACGTGTCCATGTATTAATCCCATTTGTTCTAAACTTAAGCAGTATAAAGTCCTTTTTTTTATTCTTTTTACTGTATGAATGTTTCCATATTTATAATACTTTTTGAAAAACAAAATCACCCAAGTTATAGCAAATACAAGTAGGACTTGTATACTGATTGATACTCATAAAAGATTAACTGTATGTATGAGATATGGTAGCTTGAAAAATGATTGATGAGCCTGCTACTTTTTCTTAGGTGTCTGTTGTTTTTTGTAACATCTTCTTTAACCTATTATCAGTTTTAGAATTGTATATGTATTGTAGTTATTTTTCACTGCGATATTTTGGTTGTTACATATATATTATGACCCTATTACCACTTATTTTTTTTGTTGTGATAATTTTTCCTTGTCACTCTCATGTCAGAAAATTAAAATGTTAGTGACTACTTGTCTTCGTTGTTTTTTTTTTTCAACTAGTACTATACATAAACTCCTTAGAAAGGGTGATTTTTTTTCGGTAGATATTATGTAATGTTAGTTTATGTATTCCTTTCTTGCTACATAAAACACTTGTTTCAGTCATCAGTTTTCTGTCTGTGAGGCCTGTTTTCAATGCTACCAAAACCACATACACAAAACTGCAATATAACCACAATGTAAACAGTTCTGTTCATTGTAGATTATTAAAAGTTGAAATAATGTTAAAATATGAATAATACTTGTGTTAATAATCATTTATATTTATCAACTTAAATGTCTTGCCAACAAAGAAGAAACTTAAGCTGAAATTTTTAAAACAGAAAATCAATTTCCTAAGACAAAAAAGACCTATTTAGAAGTTGTATTTATTGTGAAGTTCCTAAAAACTAATCAGGTGTTTCAAAAGTTAATTGATTTTTTTTCCTTTTAAATAAAAGTGGGTTTTAGTGTAATTTTTTAACCTTCATTATACTTATTATCCAAACTACAAAAGCATTATTTGCAAATATTAATTGCAAACTGTTAAAGTAACTTGTCATGAGTACTACATTAGTAGTTTAAAGAAAGCTAGATATTATTACATTTAAAATATATTTTACACTCTACAGTTAAATGCATAAATGTTTTTACTTAGAAGTAACCAAATTTACTGCTATTTATGTATAAATTATCATTGATAATTTTTTCAAAATACGTTTTTTATACTAATTTAAGTAAAGTGAAACAAGCTGCTTGCATTTTCAATTTGAATCTGAAGTTCAATTACATGTACATATAATTTAAGGACAACAAGGGATCTCTTTAACCATCTAGGCCATCCCATCTACTATACTACTAAAAACAAGAGGGAATCCTCAATAGCCGCAGCACTTGAAATTCATTTAGGCAGGATTAGAGTAAATTAATCTGTTGGGCATGGTCAGATACATCAATCGAAAGGGTTTGACTTCCCGAGTCTAAAACTGTAATTTGATCTCAAGTTTGGTCAAGATAAGACAGGGCTACGAGCTAAAAGTTTGTACTTTAAAAAAAAAAAAAGGAGCCTTACTATGAGCTGCTATGCCACTGGTAATAGAACACTCAAAGTCATCCCTTATCATTTAAATGTTTATCAAGTCTTCCCTTAAACACCCTTAAATTTACTGCATTTACCACATCTTAAAGCAACCCATTCCAAAGATCAACTGCCCTGTTAGAACAATAAAGCTGTTTTGGCCTAAGATGACTACTGCCCAGTCAAAATTTATATTTGTGTCCCCCTAGTCTTACCATTAAATATGATAAAAAATGGTGCATCAGTATTATCAACTTCTTAATCGCCTCAATCGGATATAAATTTCCTTGAACTTAAACACCTCAATCGGATGTTCTCTAACTCTTCTTTTTTTTTTCAAGAGAAAAAAATTTCATAGATCGTAATATATCCTTATATCATAACCTTTCCATCCTACTGACCCTCCTCTGTACCTTTCCCAACAATTTACGAACTTCATAAAGTAAGGAACCCAAGACTGGTCACAGTACTCCAAATATGGTCTAACCAGTGATATATACAATGACATTATAATCTCTTTAGACTTGTATTCAATATTTATGAAGATACAACCTCAAATCTTATTTGCCCTGCCACTAGCAACAGCACATTGCTTGGATGGCTTAAGAGATTGGTCAACCAGAACACCAAGATCTTTTTCTTCCATAACACTGTTAGGGTTATTCCCATAAAATTATACTCATAATTTAAATTGTGATATCCCACATACATTATCTTGAATTTATTATAGTTAAAACCATCTGTCATTTGTTTGCTTAACTCGCCAAACAGTCCAAATCCTTTTGTAAAGCTGTAGCATCCTCACAACTAGCAACACCCAAAACTTTATTATCGTTAGAGGATTTAAAAAATTGATTGGCCATTCGTTCATCTATGTCGCTGATGTAATTTAAAAGGGGCAAAGGTACTAACACTGAACCCTGAGGTACTCCACTTGTAACATGAATCAAGCTTGACTGCATTCCATTAATAACAACACTAATTTCTTCCATCCAGCCATTTTTCTATCCAATGAGCCAACCTATCTACCACATCAACAGAGATAACTTTTGAATAAGCCTTTTATGTGGCACATTGTCAAATGCCTTTTGAAAATCCAGATACACTATACTCTCATTTAAATAAGCAGTGATCTCTTCAAAGAATGTGAAAAGATAAGTAAAGCGAGATTTTATCTTAGTGAAACCATATTGATCGTTTAGTAAACTTTTAAATTTTGTAAAATTACTTTGCAAATAATCATTTATCAGACTTTCAAAATCTTTTCCCACCACTGATATAAGATAATAGGCCTATTGGGACAATTTGTATAATTTTTAATTTTTTTTTTTTTAAAGAGGAGTAACATTTAGCCAAGTTCGAATCTTTTGGCACTAGCCTACTATTCGAGATATTAAAAATTTCTGATTAAAGTAAAGTACATGCATGAGAACTAAAAATTAATCCAGTAATTAATACCGCGTCAACGAGGTATATGGAAAGCTATAAAACAAAAAATTATAAAGATTAGAACGCATAGAGCTGTACACCCACGCTGCTAGCGTAACCTGCCTTTAATCTAGTATATCGTGAGGCTTAGGAGCTTCAGTTAGCCCCAAATTCTTATGCTAAGCTGACAATGATAAATAATATAAATATGGAAATATTACATGTATTAAACATTTTAATCAATCTACACTGTAAAATGGCTTGTATCTGTCCATGATGAAAGTGAACTTTCCGAGCTCTGATCACCACGAAACTCTTGAAATTATTAGGTATTATCGGAGACACTAAAACTGTCGATTTTCTAATTTTGTCGAGTTGGTGGTGGGTACTATTGACTAGTTGTCTATCATTTCAAAGTTAAGGATGGCTAACATCATTTAAAAAGTAACAGTTTATGTTTTATTGTTAAATTTCGCCCAAAGCTACTCGACGATCAACTGTAATAGCCATACCCAAGTTAGAGGTAATATAGACCGGAGGGAAGGCAACACCGCCCACCGATAGATCTTTGGCTACTCTATTAACAACGAATAGTTGGATTGTCATTTACTTTCTAATGCTCCCATAGGGGGGGGGGAGGCGAGAATGTTCAGTGACGTGATTCGAACCAGCGACTCGTAGGTTGGTAGTTGAGCACCTGGCCATGAGAAACGAAGAATTTTATGCATTCAGACCAAGAAATGTAATTACGTTGAACAAATTCTGTTTCATTTAATAAGCTGTGAATAGTAAATATTGTGGCATAATTTAATTGTATTCGAAAGTGGAAAATGTCTAACTTCAAAATTAAAACTTTTTTGTCTTATTGAAGATTTTGAACTTGAACTACTGATTTAAAATTCTCATATCTAAATCATACACAATATAGGGAACTTTCATACAGCTTGCTTTAATCATAGTGAAAAGATAAACTAAAGGCTTCCCAACATACTATTATTATCTTTAAAAAATGTTTAAGAAACAAAAGTGTAGATGGGATAGCTTTGTAAAGTTCGTGATATTCTGTAAAATTATTACTTATTACTGGTGTTCAAGATGTAGGAGAAATCTCGTTTTTGAAAAACGAGCAGTTGATGCATTCTATCAGATGGCCAGGTGGTTAGGGCGCTCGATTCGCAATTTGCGGGTTCGAATCCCCTTCCCACCGAACATTCTCGCCCTTTCAGTCGTAGGGATATTATAATGTGACAATCAATCCCACTATTCGTCGGTAAAAGGGTAGCCCAAGAGTTGGCGATGAGTGGTGATGGCTAGCTGTCTTTTCTTTTATCCTTCACTGTTAAATTAGGGACGGCTAGCGAAGATAGACCTCGTGCAGCTGTATTAGTGTGATAATCGCTATGTTTTTAGCGCAGGAAGGCTCATTGATGGATCGTCTTATGAATCAAAACGAATTCCGAAAACGCTTCTTATTCTTCTTTTTAATATATTATTATAGGTTTTTTTTATTAGTATTATTGATGCAGTGAATCAGTTGACATAACCTACGATAACATGACATACGATACATCCAAATCATTAAACACTTTTGTTACAAACAAGCGATACCTTCAGTAGCTTTTAGAGTTTATTCAATCGTCGAACAAGCTTCTGTGGCAAAAACCTTTAGCTAGACGTGACATAGCCCACGACAGGAATTTTTAAATCAGTCATTTGGTAGTTGAATGAAAAAATAACCATTTAGATTCATTTTCGTGGACAAGTAGAAAATTGCCATTTCAAAGATAAAGAGCATTTTTTTATGAAAACGATCCCAAACATCTTTATTTATATAAATATCGTATCAAATATTATTAGAAGGTCAAGAAAAGTATGTATTGTTTATGTGTGTGTCCGTTTTGTCACTTTGATGAACCAAATCAGACTGAAATAGAGACTTATTCTAAGATAAAGATGAGAAATTAGCCTTATTCAAAACTTGATAAATGTCTTATGGAATTGCTCTCAACTTATACTCCAAATACGTAGTTCCATTATAACATTAACTCGGGTAGCTACATTTCCTATGAGAAATGTGGGAGAAAAAAATATGAGAATGGACCAACAGGAATTTATACGGATTGGGTGTGGAACTTTTGCACTAGAGACAAACAGAAAAAGATAACTTTTGCTGTGTATCTGTAGATAAGCTCTTCCCAATTCTTATCACTTCATTAATGAGAGATAAAAGGAAATATTTATTATTTACTGAAGGTTAATCCCACTTTATAAAAACAGTGTATTAGATACTGCTCGTAGAACTTCTACCAATGTCGTTGATCGTTCTATTTGAGCAAGACTCTTCTGAGATATGCAGCAAGGTAGGTCAGGCTTAGACCACACATCTTGACAAACTTTATACAGACCCTACATTGCTTTTGTGGCCCGTTGTCGTGTTAAACACGTGTTGTTGTTTTTTATTTTCTATGGAAGGCTCACTTCTTCGTTATTCAGATCTATCTCATTTAGCAATCTCTATGAAACAACCCTGTTGGAAAGGGCTGTGACCTCCTGCCATAAGCCTGTCTGTGATTGCGTTGCACTGTCGAATAATCAGGACTTCGCTGTTAACCAAATACATAGGTACTGAACGTGTAGTCTACAGCGGCCGCCATGGGTCGCACTAGCATATGAAAATATTTCCAGTGATGAGCGATTTATGAATGGTAAACTTATAAACAAACAACGTTTTCTTTAATTAAGATTTATTAGTTCAAATGTTTGCTATACAACTACAAATTTGAATTATTGTGCTGACATTTTAATCCTCAAAGTACAAGGAAAGAATTTCAATCTTTCCAGCTTAATGTCCCATGTAACAGGTTACACAATGTAGCATATACAACAATTATATAATGAAAGTACTCGCTCAGTTTTCAGTCTTTTCTATATATATATAGTTAATTCCCCGTGATGGCCCGGCATGGCCAGGTGGATAATGCACTCGACTCGCAATCTGAGGGTCGCGGGTTCGAATCCCCGTCTCACCAAACATATTCGCTCTTTCAGCTGTGGGGGCGTTATAAAGTGACGGTCAATCCCACTATTCGTTGGTAAAAGAGTAGCACGAAATTAAAAGAAAATAAAAATTCCCGTGAAACAAATTAGCAGTGACCATATAATGAAAGTAATCGCTTCTGATTTTTACTTTAGTATAGTTGCGAAACATCGTTACTGACTATAGATTCAATGTAACGAAATCCACGAATGCAGTATTTTAAAACAATTTCAAACATGTTATAATACAATAAGGTCATTCTTTTTATTTTCACTTCATTTTGTAACAGTTGACAAATAAAAAATAACGAAAAACAGTTAAGAAGTTTGTTCTAAAATATGATTCGAAACATTGGCTTAACTGGGATTTCTCCCTGTCTTTACGTTTCTGTAGAACTGTTTCCTTCAATTAAAAGAGCAGAAACGCTATAGAGTATAGACCAAAATAGAAAGTATGTGAAACATAGTTTCCCAGTGTACCAACTGAACCGATTTTTTAAGCAAACCTAATATATAGTCATTGAAAAAAATCGTTGTCTACTGTTTTGACAGCGGTATAAAATGTCTTGTGAAACTGCCAAATTCCACGATATATTTTCACTGCGTGTGAGACAGTAAACCACTACCACCACCAGATGTTATTATCATAATTAAAACATCTTCACTTTAATAAGAGTACAAGTTAAAATACTACTACAAATCACATTTTCTAACATAATAGTAATACCTTTTCAGCAATACTTTTAAAAACGTAGATTTGTTAACACACTTTTCACAGACTTTAAAATAATGTTTCTGGAACTTCGGAAATAGCAATGATATATTTTAAGCAACCTTTAGGATTTGTTTGTTTGGGCTATCTTCTCTGTGCCCACCACTGGTATCGAAACACGGGTTTTAGCGCTATAAACCTTCAGACTTATCGCTGAGCAATTGGGGTGGGGCAACCTTTCGGAAGAATAAATTATTTAGTTTTGAAAGATTTTAGCGGTTTTTGTTTAAATCGCGTAAATTATCAGTTCATCCTCTTCTCTATTACTGTTAACCAATATAACAAAACTGTTCATTAGTTCTAGTCTCGTGAGAGTTTAGTTTTCGTTATGAAATTAAGGGCTTGCTTCGATGGGTCAATAATTATTCTACTTCATAAAATGTGGTGATTTAAAACAAAAACTTAACCATTTGTAAACGTTATTTAAAAGCTTTAAAGCTCTAATAGTCAATAAATTGTCATGTTTCCATCCAAAATTACAAATACCTCGCTCAACAAATAATTGTTTGTTATACTATTTTTTACCAATTTCAACTAAATCAACTAAAACTTGTCAAATCTTTCTCATTTTAAAATAAAACTAGATTATATAACTATAAAAGCTAAGCGATAATTTAAAATCACATAAGACATTTAAATCAAAAAATATGTTGATAAATAAAAAATATATACGTACTTTTACAAAACAAGATGTTAACTCTACTGTCTTAATTCAGAAATTTATTTGAAAGTGAATTTCAGCGGAATTACGCTTATTTTCTTATTTTTATACATATACAGATCTACATGCAGCTGACAATTTATGAAATCGATAAAATAAATTATTCGATCTCAAGGTCTTGTAATTTTAGCTACCATGATTGTAAAATAAAGAGGGTTGAATCATATACAAGAAACGATACTGATTTATACACTCCTGGACGTATACTTAAACATACCACTAATTGGTGTCATTGTCAACATCTTAGATGAAAATTAACCATCTTGTATTATATATTCATTTTCTGATTATCATTGATAATCGAACGCAGAATCTAGCACCAGATGAGACGTGAGATTGAGTTACGTTTTACGAAAATTTGAGGATAGTCAGTTGATGGTGCATGGCTATATTGACATTATTTATAGCTCACCGTGAATCAGCCGAATATAATATTATTTTAGTTTATAAGATCACTTGTAATTTCAGGTAATATAATTGTAATGACTAAGTGAACACCTACATTTAGTGATTCGCTGAAAGTGAAATTTAGTGTCTAGTCGTTGTTTTCACACCGTAAAAATAACTTATGAGAGTCACTTAGATATATGGAACTTTAGCTTCATACTTCAGTTGAAATGAATTCAATCTTTCGAATCATCATTTAGCTGTAAATATTCAAATAATGTAGAACATTTCACAGTCTGTTGGGTTCTGTAGGAGCAAAAAATAAATAATGGGCTGTCTGCCATTGAGATGAAACTTGAAATTTTAGCGTCATAAGCTCTCAAGATTAAGGATGAGTCTCCGGGGGGAACTATAGATGGTAAGAAGAGTTGTTATAGCGTCTAGAATTCGCTGGTGTTAAGGGTAATATGACGGATTTCGCTGGTCGTAAAATGGAGTCAGTAGAATAACACTGCTATCAGATTCTCAAGACGATAAAGTAATATTAGTCAGATACAGATGCTAATGGGGATATTGTTAAAATCAGAATTATTTGATAACAGTAATAATTTTGATGTTGAATTCTGTTGAGGATAAAAAATCTCTTGAAAGACTAATGTTAAAAACAGGGGTAAAGTTGAATTTGGAAAAATAATAATCATTATAAGATCAACTTTGTGATGAGAAATATTTAAATGTCTTTGTGTGTGTGTGTGTGTTGAGAATAACGTTTTATTACAGTTGTAATACTAAGATTAACGATTATCACCAGTATACTTAAACCTAGGAGTACAAGACAATCTGTTACTCTTACAGGAAGTTTACTGTTATGTTGTATGTTTAAATTATTATGCGAACGTTTATGTTTAAGATTTGTTGGTCTTAGAATGCCAGATAAATTGGCCATGAAAGTAATTGTTTTATGGTCGAATTTCAACTGTTATTTAGAGTAACGCTTATATCATAGTTCGGTTAAAATGAATGCAGTGTTAGCTGTGGTGCTCATTATCATAGGAGCACAGCTTTCAGGTTCAATTAATTGCGAATATTTGACGTTTTTGGCAGCACTAGTGCGACATGTCAATTTATAGTGAGTGTAGCATAACGCTTAAAACTATTGTTCCGAATCAGGAAGGTGATCAAGACACCCAATACCAATATAGAAACACCGAGAACGTTGATAACTAACGCCTGTTCTGATAGGTCTTTGTAGTTCTCCTTGTTGTCTTCTCCACTGTGAAAAGATACAATATTCCGCTCAGATGGGTACTAAAATCCAACAAATGAAGTTAGATATGAACTATAAGTATTATATTTTATTTAAATAAACTTAATTTTAAAAACAATTGCTAAAAGTATATCTATATAATGAATACGCTTACGTTTGTTTGTCTGGAACTTTTCTTGCAAATTTCTCGATCAAACACTACAAATGTCATTATCGTTAGAAAGGCCTTTGTCCGAGGAGCTAGGAATGCATATTGGCATTTCAATTCAGAATCGTCTTACCTGTTTTTTGCTTAGTCAAACTTTTTAATGCAAAAAGTATGGTACACGATGGCACAATGTCGTTGTCACCGCGTGACGTCTAGCTTCGATTTCAACCTTAGTTTTTATTTACAAAGTATTTCACACAAACAACACCTAACCCGCATGTAATTTCCTAAAACAAAATGAACATTACACTGAACACAATTTCTATGGATTTCTCGACTTATTTAGGTCCAAAATATGCATGCGCAGTTCGTTCAAAACCATATGCTAATCACTTTATGAACACGCATTCAGACGTGTCTGCATAGTCAGCTAAGTTTGCCTTCATTACAACTTTACATTTTCTTTACTTTGCAATAACTTAGCTTTGGTTTGTTTCACAGACTGCTTTAGCTACTCCTTTCTTTAGTATGGTTATATTTTTCGTTTTTTGTTTCAACTTGTACAACTCTGTCATAAACTAAACTCTCATAACTGTTTCTTACTCTGTACACTATTATAAATAATATTACTTTACTTTATTGTTTACTTTACGTGTAGTTTTATTAAATAAAGTTTCTTACGTGTAGCTTTATTAAATTTACGTCTATGTGAGTTTGTTTGTTTGTATGACCAGAATTGTTTTAAAAAATAGACCTGAATTTATCGATCTAGCATATAATGCCTGCAAGAAAGTTAAATGGCGTACGTGAAAATGATAGAATAAAGGAAATTCAAGAGAAAGACATGAAAACTACCGCAAATGTTTTGCGGGTCGTGTCTAGTATATATAAACTACGATGCATTTTGTATTAAAAATAAAAATACTGACATGGCTATTTTGCCTGCCCTTTATGCTAATTTAATAGCTTATCTATTGTCTAGAAATTTAAAGTAATTTTAAGCCCCGAACCTAAAGCTCATCATTTTGTATTAGTTTAAGGATTTTCGAAATTCTTGGGTAAACAGTAAAAACTTCGTGCAGTGGAAAATGGCCCGGCATGGCCAGGTGGTTAGGGCGTTCGACTCGTAATCTGAGGGTCGCGGGTTCGAATCCCCGTCCCACAAAACATGCTCGCCCTTACAGCCGTGGGGGCGTTATAATGTGACGGTCAATCCCAGTATTCGTTGGTAAAAAAGTAGTCCAAGAATTGGTGATGGGTGGTGATGGCTAGCTTCCTTCCCTCTAGTCTTACACTGTTAAATTAGGGACGGCTAGCGCAGATAGCCCTTGTGTAGCTTTGCGCGAAATTCAAAACAAACAAACAAACAAGCAATGGAAAACACGCTTAACACATCCACAGTCTAACTGCATTAATTGCATTTTCAGATACATATAAAGAGAGAAACTCTGAAATTAAAGAAAAGATAAGTTTCTCTATGTCTCTAAGATACATAGCTATGGTTAATTAATTAATACCTTTCAGACTAAAGATTTAGTTAACCCATACGTCTTAAATTGGTATATTTTAGCTTTCTTACCACTAACTTATTAATTAAATCACATGGTTATGGAACTTGACCTATTTCTCTAATCCGGAATACTTAACCCTACCTTCATCTATCTTACCTCCAGGAATTTAGCTATTACAGTTTTACACATGTATTGTTTATTTTTCCACATATCTAGTTAATGGTCAGGACTTACTGCTAACTATTTCATCTCTACACATCTAGTTATTGCACGTGACTTACCTAAATCTTCGTTATCTCCACACTTCTACTAGTTAATCCTCTTGACTCGTAAACTATTTTACATCCATACATCTAGTCATTCCAGTTGACTTACCTTAAGTTACTTTACCTCCACACATCTATATAGTCCTCTTTATTTACCATAAACTATGCAGTATAGATGGCTGATCCAGGAATTACTATCAAAAACGTTTATTTAAAATACAAAACAAGTAACAACATTTCGACCTACTCAGGTCATCATCAGGTTAAGAATGATTTTGAGAAAATGACCGTTATCGATCACGTGTCCTGGAGACGACAATAATGATAGGTGTAAAGTTGTAGGGGACTTTGTACATATATAATTATATTGGTAATCAGCAGCATAATTTCATATATGAACACATATATAATGAAATAATTAATACAGGTATAAAAGTGTTCCTTTATGCTGGTTTAATGTGGGTTCAAGTTCTTGTATTAGAAGAGCTTCTTCAATTGTTTGTTTACTTACGTTTGTTTTTCTGTTTAATATACTAGTATTTTCTATGGTTATATTGCATTTATTTGAGTTACAGTGTTGGAAAACATGGGAGTATAATTTTTTTGTGCATAATGAACCTAGTTTCCATTTTCAACTTGTTTCTCCAATATTGAAATCATGGCAGTTGCTGCATTGTATTATATAAATAACATTAGTATTGTGTTTGTCAGAGTAGTTTTTACATAGTATACATTATAGTGTGGTACCTGTTTTTTGTATAAATTTAGTGTTTACTGGAATGCTATGTTTGGGTATAAGTTTTTTTTCCAAATGTTACATATTTTTTGATGATATCTGGTATGAATGGAATGAAGTAGTAAGTGTTTTGTTGTTGGTTGTTTCATTGAATTTCAGATTGTTGAGTGGTATGTTGTTGGTGGGGTTTCTTCTTCCAATTGACTTACCTTAAGCTACTTTACCTTCCTCACATCTAATTAATCCTCCTGACATACCATAAATTACTTTACCCTCACACATATAGATAACCCACGTGAGTTACCATAAGCTATCTTACCTTTGCACATGCAGACAAAGCAAATGATTTGCCATACTATAACTTAACTCAAGAATAATATAATGAAACCAAACACATACCATTTGAGACTATCTATCTCTACACATTAAGTTAACCCATGTGGGCCATTCTCGTTTGCCTGGCTTCCAAGCACTTAATAATTACAAGCAATATATTTTAATTTATCTAAACTTCAGCCATTTATTAACAGATACTACTAGTCATGTTTACCACACCTTCATGATTTAGTTAATATACATAGCTTACCTTAGTCTGTGACGAGCTGTCTGCATCAAGCCTGTCAGGCATGTTGCTATAGCCATACCAAAGATGATTAATCCAAATGTAATGTGAGTTGGTAACAGACGCTGTCGAAATTTAGCAGTGGCATTTTCACAGCACAGGAGCACCAAAAATGACACGAACCCTACGAGAAACTAAAGAAAATGTGGATGATTGTGATACTCTGAAAGTCTGAAGGTTCCACACTTTAATTTTCTCTGTAGCTATTTTTGAAATGAAAGTTTGATGTTGATCTTTATTCTAAAGCTTAATGAATGGTGCACAAAATTTTGATCCATAGTAACGTTATTACACTATAATAACAAATTCCAATAAAACGTGTTTTTTAATTCAGCAGTATTTATCCACTTTGTATAAGTATCTACTTAACTCAAAATGAAAGGGTTTCATTCCTCCCCTCATTTATTAGATGACTTATGAACAATTATAACTCACAGCACATTTGTGGTTTGTTCATCGAGAGTGCTGGGAAATTTTGAAGTCACTTGGACTCTAGAAATTTCCAAACAAATGCATTTATTGTGATAATAAAACTAAAATGGATCAAAATAAAATAAATTATATGCAATAGTAATCAAATTGTAATGTTTAGTAAAGGTCTGTTTTAATATACAAAGTTAAAAGATACATTTTATTATCTAAATTTGTTTGATTCAGTGTTTAATGTGTAACCTGCTGCCTTAATAATGAAGAGTGATTGTTGACTGTAAATTATTAGTTTTTTTATATTGCTGGGAAACATTTTGAACACAGTTGAAAGTAAAATATCACTCTACTGATTACATAAAATTATGGGAATTTATCTGAAGGTAAGCATAAGGATATCATAAACTTATGTATTTCTCAGAATGGATGGGGAGGACTATATCAAGAATGTGTAAAGGCACTGAGAATTTCATCAATCAGAGGGCTTATCTAATGTTCAAGAAGTTTCTACATGATTTTGAAATGATTCCATGCTATGATGCCAAGGCAGCAGTGAGAATAACCTTTGACAGGAATGATTGAACTATCAACTTTAAGACACTAGTTGAATTATTGAGTTTAATAGTTCTTCAACATTCAAGGAGATTTTGAAATGTTTGTGCCAATAATGCAATAGGTATTTTGATCAGCTGAAGCAAGGAATAGATGGATAAAGGAATAAACTATTGAACACTCTCCTTGAGATTGTAAAGGCTGACTCTAGCTGCTGAGAAATATTTTCTGAGAAGCACCTCAGATAATGATATTTAGGTGTATAAAAACAGTGATAATGATTAACCTAGACAATAAACTTGACAAATGACAATAATGATTTAAAGCTATGGTGGTTACTATGCAGGTTATTTATATCATTTACATTCAGGAGCATATATTGGGAAGATAAGGGGTAATTAGAAAGATATTTTTTTAAATAAATACATAGAGTAAAAACAAAGCTTTAAACCAACAGATGGAAATGAAGACTCAACTTTATTAACAGTGGCAGTGTTAAACAACACTAGATAAGAGTTGGTAGAATAACTTGCTGTATTTAACAAGATGCTAAACATGTTGCCTGCAGTTCAGAAAGATCAGCTTCTGGAAAGGTGTGTCTCAGAACCATCAATTATATAAACTCCTTGCCATAAAGAAAAGAAATGGGAGGCTAATATGGGCTAACAAAAGGTTGTTTGACCATTCTGTATAGGAAAGTGGGCTTGAGTTTGTTCTCAGAGAGAGAGAGAAAGGTTAGGTTTGAAGTTAAGCAGAAAGCTACACAATGGACTATCTGTGCTCTGCCAACCATGGTTATTGAAACCTGGTTTCGAGCATTATAAATTCACAGACATACCACTGTGCCACTGGGGGTGGGTTAGAAATTTAACTTTTTCTAGTCTAGTTATATGTGAACATTAGTCTGAGGTAGAATGATGGTCGTAATGATGACATTTTGTTTGGTACTGGGGAGGAAAAGGTTATGGTCATTAACTTAGGAAGCGTGGCATGCTCCAACGAATATCTATTGAAGGCCATTGTGGATAACATAGTGACATCAATAATACTGCTGGATTTTAACATGAGTCAAGCACTCCTTCTTGAACCAGTGTTTTGACAAATTGCAAAAGTGTGACATTAGGCACATGGAGGTTGATGGAAAGTACATGTGAAGTCATTTCTGGAAACCCTATGAAGTCAAAGATTAAGATAATTATGACTCCTTGAGACATCAAAAGATACTTGGAAATAGATTAGCTGAGGAGATGGATGGCATACATTTTGTCTTATTAGAGTGTCGTTCTCAGAGTCATAATAATCCAATACAGAAGTTTGGAAAAAAGGCATAATCAGATTAGGTTGTGGTAGTTCCATTGTTCCATCATTGAAGTTACATCACAATCAAGTAAGGTTAGAAATCAGAGATGTACAGAAAACTAGTAAGACTAGGCCAGTGATTGCAAGAAAACTGACTATCTTGGCAAGAACAATTGTATTATTGAAAATAGGTTCCATTTTACTTTGCAACTACTGTTTAAAGTTCTTATATCTATGATACAGCAGTATACATGTGACAAAACTATTGGCAAATTTGATCATTGGGTTGCAATTATACAATATTACATATTTATATTGAGCATTGTTTAGAAAGGCAACATGAGAAATCTAACAAGTTGTCTTGTGATCGTCTGAGGACTCGTATAGATTTATAGGAAGAAGAATAAAAGAGGGGTTTAGCAATGATGGGAAATGGCATAACAGTCAGTTAGCATAGCTGGAGAACTATGTACTCACTTGTAGGATCTAGGTATGTCATAGCTACTACAAATATAGAAGGAAAGATATTAACGTGTTACATTAAATGCATCTGACTGGAAAGTCATTGCCATTAATTAGAAATATAAGAAAGAGTACTTTACTTTTGTTCATAGTACCCAAAAGAGTAAGATGGGAAGTCTTGAAAATTAGATGGTATCGTGTATCAGGGTGTTTTGCCTGGTTTCCGTGCCTGAAGACAATTCTACGATATAACTGAACAGTGTTGACAAATGATGTTGCGACAATATAGATGATATAGGTACTGCATCACTTGCAGAACATTCAAGCCGAAGCAGGGAAAGATGACACAATGACAACTGGGCATATCTTTGCAATGAATGATGATGCATATTGTTGAAGAAATTCCCAAGACTAGGAAATGTCACATATATTTATGTAAGTCATGTTTGATTACTTTACACAAAGAGCTAATTTATTTGTACAGGAGGACACAAGTTATGTAATAGTGAACTGTGACCTTACTGATAATTTTAATACTCAGTCATGAATACCACTACGGATAGATTCATAGGGGTTAAGGATCCAACCTAGGTAAAATTGGTTAGAATGTTGAGGATATTGAAAACTATCACTCCATATCATCCTAGCTCTGATGATTTGATTGAAACAGACAATAAAACAAAGATTTGATATGCATGATAATGAGAAGAAAAATGAATTATACAATAGTTCAGTGGCTCAGTGATAAGTCTGAGGACTTATAAGATATTGAGTTTCAATACACGTGATAGGCACAGCACAGGAAGACCGTTTTATAGCTTTGTGCTTGATCATGAAAGAAAGAAACAGATTATAAAATAATTGTATAAACGTAGAAAATGCGTTACTTTTAGCAATTTGTGAAGGATATTGTCTAAGGATGTATTCTGTAACATCACGAAACGGTGTGTAATCTCGGAATGTAATTTGTCATTTTACTAAACATCCTATAGCATTAAAATAGAATACATTTTGTTGCTTCAGTACATTTGCAGTTGTTTTAGAACTAGTTACATCATCTCATTAAAGGCTACTATTCACGGTGCAATTTGTGCTACCTTGTAATATACGGTGGTTCGAGAGTTCATCTCCTTTTCTTTCAATATATATTACATGATTATTAGAATTTATTTCAGATAATCTAATAGCCCTTGGTCTCGTAATTTCTACCTCTGAAATGAATGTCTTCAAGTGAAATATGCGAATGGACAGCGAAATTAATTTAATATGAGGGTCAGAAATGCCCACGTCGAGTTGTGGTTCAATAGTCTAGGTTTCGAGATGCACACCTTCAGCTGACAGTGTTAAAAAAGTGACAGTCAATTCCGTTATTTAGTTCAATTAGCTGGTAGATGCCTTTGTCTTAGTTAGTTGTTCAAAATTAAGGTCGATTAGCTGGCAGATGCCTTTGTCTTAGTTAGTTGTTCAAAATTAAGGTCGACTATACCTGAACTCTAGGGGTCTTTGGCCTGTTCGTTTAACCTAATATGCTGTTGAGATTGGAAAATTCCCATAGACATGTTAAAATTATTTTTGGGACACTTAAACATTTATTTCACTATTTAAAACTCATTAAGAAAGGTTCAAACTTTATGGCTCTAGTTCGCGTTAAATAAAAAAAACTACTTTTTAAAATAATTAATTGAATTTTTTATAGTTCAAATATAATTTTTTGTCTTCAGTATTGATCTTTTTTCGCGGTTTTATTTAGAAAATTTATAGATAATTCTCACAGATGACTGCCATTTTTATGGCACAATCATTTAAAAAACTTCAAACAATCGTCAATAACGAAAAACGTTTTTCTAATATTAATAAAGAAGTTAAAAATCATCCCATGTACTGCAAAATATGTTTAAAGCGAAAAGATCGGTCACTTCACTATGTAAAAAGATCGGTCAACTTACCTGGAGGGCAAACATCCCAATAGTAGCAAGTCCAATCCATGAATGAAGACTGTAGAAGTGTGTAGAGTTTTCGTTGGCTTGGATTGCTGCCACCAGGCCGACTGTGACTGACGATATGGCTAAGACGAACAAGGCCGAATGAACCACTTTGGTGTAAATCTTCTTGCAACAAGAGAAACAACGGTATGCAAGGATTGCTATCAGAAGAGAAAAATTAAGAGGAAGAAGAAAAAGAAGTCTGGAGAATCAACTTTCCTAGGTTACAGTTCTTTAATATAACATAGCTACACGTATATTTAAGTAACTGTAAATAATACAAGGCTTAGCTATGACATCATAAAACACGTTTGCTGTATGTTTAGGCATTTGTTTGAAACAATGGATATTTTAAATGGTGAAGTTCGTTTAATAAGGAATATTTTGTGTGTGTGCAGGGTTCTTTTAAAGTTTCATTGTGTGTTTAACACCCCAAAAATGAATAATATTCCTCAAAAGGCATTAGTCATGAATATATTAACGAGATTGTGGGAAACTCGAATTTGTGTTCAGTACAAATGGCCAACATGGGGCGCTAAGTCCGTTCATTGGGGCTAATATTTATTCCAATTATGGCCTGCATCCATGGGATGATGTGATGCCAACTGAACAAAGGTGTCTCCTATTCAACATGGCCTCATGCTGTCGAATGGTATCTTTCAACTCCGTTAATGTAGCAGGCACTCCAATTTGAACTCATGACTTTAGTTATTCCCATAGCCAAGGGTCAGGCATGGCACAGTGGTTATAGTGTCTAGACTGTGCATCCGTGGACCCATGATCCGTGGCCCGTTGTCTCAAAAAACGCGCTCTAGAGTTCGGGGTTGTGGGTGCGCTGTAAGAGTGACGGTCCAATCCTACTATTCGGTCATAAAAGAGTATCCCAGAAGTTAGCGGTGGGCAACAGCTATGAACAAATAACCCTTAGCGTAGCTTTGTGCGAACATTCTGAAACACAACTTAAAACAAACTTATAGCCAAAAATCAAGAGAGCCATCTGACAGCATGTAGCCAAGATGAATAGGTCAATAAACTTTATTAGAACCCTGTATATAGGTATATTTATTCTCTTAGATATTTTCCTAATTTAAATGCATAACTTCTTACCTATCTGTGGATAATTATTTATCAAACTGTAAGCATTTCAATAAGTATAACCAAGTGCAAAAAATGACATTTTACTCCAAAAAGGATGAACTGACTTTTAACCGATTTTATTCAATAACACAATAAATTACACGTTTCACTTACCTTGTCCATTAAAGAAAATAAATCCACCTATCATTAGAACGTAATGTAAGTTAAATTGCTTGGAAACATCTTGGGTCCAGGCAACACCACCTCCATAGTGAATGATCCAGAAGAGACAGAGCCCAAGTACTCCAAATAACAATAGCTCGGCAACAGTAATCAAAAGGCCATACCCACATTTCACCATTATCAGAACGTCCGATTTAGTTCCAGAATTTTTGTTATTCCTTAGGAAAAAACATATAAAATCATCAAAACCTTCTGAATCACCAAAAAAAAAAAAAAAAAAAAACCCACCGATTTTATAAAGGCAAGACTGAGTATTGAAAGAAAAAATTTGCGTTGGACTTATTTTGCTATTTTTGAGAGTAATACATCTTATCTCGTGCACACTTTCTTTAGTATTTTAACAACAAAATTCAAATGGTTTTTAAAGTTAACTATTTTACAGCTAGTACAGATCACAGATAAAAGAGACCATTTAACTAATACAAATCACAGTTAAACTCAACTACCTAATTAATACAAGTCACAAATAAACCCAACTGTTTAATTAGTACAAATATCACATAAACTCAACTGTTTAACTAGTACATATCACAGATAAACTCAACTGTTTACTTGGTACAAATTACATATACAAATATTATTTATCTATGACTTTCAATACAAATCATATATAATACGGTTTATCTGATACATTTATGATTTGATAAGTAGTAAAGAAGACAAGTTTAAAGTACTGCTTCAAGTAATAAGAAAGATTGGATTACACCAAGTTGTTGTAACAATGAACAGTTAATGTTGTCTTATAATGTGCTGTTTCAGTAAAAACGTTCAAAAGCTGGTTTTATATTTACTGACCTTTTTCAAAATTAAGAGAAACAAACACCAATCCGTACTTTATTTATTAGCTAAGGTGAGTGCTAATTTGGTCTGTATCAACTCTTTACAAATTCTAAATATATATATATATATTGTAAATAATCATATTAAATTTTGTGGTAAACATAAAACACACCCTTGTCAACAGCTTGCTTCATTATCCTCTAATAAAAATTGTCTGGTTTTATGTTTCTTGTTTATCTTTTCTATACTGAGAACCAGAGAAGAACGTTCTCGACGAAGCATTGTTGGCGTTGTGCCAATTAATGAATACAATTTAGATGTTATGCATTTTTTGCTTGAATTTAAGCATTTGGCAGTACTTTAGCATTCAAGAAAGACGACAAAGAGTATAAATTCATGCCCAGATTTCAAAGCTATTGTGCTTGTCAGAATAATGGTCCGTACATATACTGTGCTAATTGTAAACATACTTCATTTTACTGTACGAACCATAGCATATATGTTAGAAAAATGACATTAGCTATTGTTTTGATTCGAAGACTGCATATACTAATAATTTTGCTTGAATACTTAAAACAGAAATTCGAAAATAATAGTACAGTATTTTTATAAAACATGTATCTTGTTTGTAATTGATCAACTTTACAGCTTGGGTATTTTAATACATGACGTTCTGAAGATGTAACTATCTTTGATTTTATTATGTGTTTTTAATATTCAAAACGTTTTAAGATTATTATAACTTAATCAGAGGAATAACAAGTGTATAATATTTGATGTAATTATATGGAAACATGTAGCTGATACACATAGAAGAATGACAAACAATGATAAATCACAAATTGATAAAACATATTATTACATAAAATAGAAAATAAAAAATAATAAGTTTTTACAATGTACTAGTATTTTGTATTTGTTTCAAACAGAGCAGTACATATTGTTTGTATGATATTATAAGTTTGTCCATGTATGATTGTGTTATACTGTTTCAAATGTTCTGTATTATTCTCCACAATTAAGCCATATTTCTTTCATTACTGATGACCTTTTCAGTATCCACATATATCCATCCAACCTTAATAATATTCATATCGAGACGTTTTACCGATATTATTTCACCATATTTACTGCATGCTTTGGGTCAACGTTTTGTTGGAAGACGAATTCTTTCCCAACAGGTCTTGTTTCTGAGAGGGAATGACATGATAGATAACAATGTGCTTTTACCTTTCAGCAGTCCAGGTGCCATCGATTTTGTGTAGGTTTCAGATGCCAGTGGCTGAGATGCAGCCCACACTAGTTTTTATTTGTCTTCCACTGTATATGTTGAACATTGATCATAATACTGTTCTTCCTTCTGCTATCGAACAAACTATTGTTGATTGTTGATAAACAATTTGAATTATGATTCATGTATGAAGAGCATCCTCCTCCAGCTTTTCTCATTCCATTGTTTGAAGTTTGTTGTTCATTTCAGCCATTTTGAATATTTTCCTTAAGCAGTCGTATCTGAGCATCTCATATCCATTGAAGCCATCTTAATTTATAACTCGTTGGCAAGATCTCTATTGGAATAAAATGCACCACACAATGATAATACCCTGGGTTATTCAACGTCATATTTGAAGAATTGGGGCTTTCTACCTCGACTTTTTCCATTGTATAAAGTAATAGTTTCACACACCCTCTTCAGGATTTCCATATAGTTCCTACTCAGTTAGTTGCATAGAGTAGCCTTCGTCAGCTCATATTTTGATTTGTACCCGTTTGTAATGTAGCATTTCTATCCTTGGAATCATGAGTTCATTTACCATACTACTGATAGGAATTTTATGACTGCCTGCACTTTTATATGTGTCATTTTCTGATTGGTTGGATGACAGCCAATTACAGTGTTCAATCAGTACGTGATTGTCTTCTGGTGCAATTCATTTTCATACAACAGAGGAAAAGAATCCTATAATATTTCGCATTTTATACTCAATTTATTCAGTGTTTCCATAATTATATCCAATAGTGTACGTGAGCGTGCTTTCAAAATTTATTTGTTGAGCAGATTTCATGACGTCATTGAAAATGACATAATCAATTTTCAAATTCTAAACTTTCTATTCATTCCACCCTGAAAAAAGTTAGTTCTAGGTTCCGAAAAGTACTGAGGTTGTTAGATTTCTTGTATTTTATCTGTATGTACTTTCTTTTGTCTTATATGTTTTCTAGGTATCATTCTTACTTCTTTTATTTAATTCGTTATTGTTTATTCGCTCAAAATTATTAACTACTCGAATCGCCTAAAATGTTTGTATTTATGCGTGGTGTCTAAGCATTTATAGAAAGTTACAAAGCAAACATTTTAAATTTGTTGTTGTTTATGGCGTTCAACTAGCCAAAGGACATGACAGACTCGGAAACTGTGGGCCTTTTAAAATGTTTTCCGGCCTGCGTTTATTTATTTGTATGTTCTAAATCCTTATCTCCACTAGCGCTCTAGAGTTGTGGCTGCGAGTGTTGTCTTATTAGCACAGTTTACGCTGAGTTCCAAAATTAATCAAACCACGTTTCATTACGTGCATGACTCACATGACATTAAAAGCAACCTAAGAAAATTAGTGTTAGGTTCAATTATCAATTTATTACCCCAAAAGATTCTTGTGAAAATTTATTTTTCGGTTGTCTGTGATAGAGCATGTGTTATCATAAATCTTTTACAATATAAGCCTGCCTACACACTGTCATCTTCAAGTTCAAAATTAAAATATAAACGACGTGCTTCAGTGGTTTGCCATTTTTCAATGTCATCTACTGCTTGAGACTCCAAATATGTCAACATTTATATCGAAAGTTTTCCTGTTCCATATATAGGAATATTAATTCTATAATTAAATGTCAAATTACACTTCAGTTAGAACTTAGATATTAACGTATTAATCTGAAGCCATGTCGTGTAAAACATGGAAACCATTCTATGTCTCTCATGTTTGTCTCCAAGTGGCTTAGCAGAGGGCGCTGCTATTCACCTACCTTCCTCTAGCTTATCAGTTGAAAATATCCAAAACAAAAACAAAAAAGTCTAATTAATTTCTCATGGAAATAAAGAGAAAAAAAAGAGCGAAAAATACTTTATATAGAAAATATATATATCTTACAATATTTCGTGTAATTTTTAATTAAGAAACGCGTAATGTATGACATACCCCACCATTTACACTACATTATAAACATGGTTTTTGGCAAAATAGCTTTGATGATAGCATCATTTCCAACAATAAGTCCACAAAAGAGTTCAAAAATATATCATTTCAAATGTAATATAATATTATTTGCAAGATAACATAGCCGTTCAGCGTACGGAGGAAGCAATAGAAGAGTTAAATACGAATGCACCCCACCCCCACCCCAATCCTCGGATGGCCTCAAGGGAACGTACACAGATACTTTTGTGACATAATAGTTTAAAACATACTTACAATTTCTTCAAATACAATACTTATATGCAATATCAAGTTAGTTTTCCTAAGTAGATAAACACTGATTAGAAAAGTTAGTCAATAAGTAGACTTATGTTACAGATAATTAGTGAATATACTTGAAAATAAATAATAAATGAATGTAGTATACTTTAAGATTAAAATATGGAATAATGTGAAGTTATTTTTTAAATAAAGGATTTATTTTGAATCATTTTTATATTTCTTGACGTAAATGTTTCCCTCTCTGGTTATCTTTTCTCTACTTTACTATTAAGCTAAGTACATTTTTATCTGTAGGACCAGTTTGTAATTTACTCATGACACTCGAAAATATGAAACATCAGATAACTCACTTTTACTGTTCATGAATATGAGCTTAAAGCTTATAATTAAAAATAACGTTCACTGACTAAGCGAGATTGAAGAGCTATTTAAATAGAAAATTCACGAAAATCACGGTGTCGTAAGTAAAATCATGGTAAACATTAAAAGCCACCCCCCCCCCACCACACACACAAATAAAGGGAAATTTGAGTATACAAACTTGAAAAATTACCAATATAAGGACCAAGACCATCTATAGGCAAATCGCCTAAACTCTATATAGACAAACAATTAAGCTACGTGCATCCACGTGGTCGCAGTGATAGCAAAAATCCAACAAATAGATTGTAACATCTGTAACTGACCTCTTATGCTTTTGTCTGTTTGTTTTAGAATTTCGCGCAAAGTTATACGAGGGCTATCTGCGCTAGCCGTCCCAAATTTAGCAGTGATAAACTAGAGGAAAGGCAGATAGTCAATACCACCCACCCCCAACTCTTAGGGTACTCTTGTCAGACAGAATAATGGGATATTACCCTTACTGTTATAACGCAACTACGACCCAAAAGTGCGAAACGCTTTTTTTTTGTTGGCGGTAAGTGGA